GCCGTCTCCGTCCACGAGACGCGCGGGTTTTACGATGGCGAGGAACGGGGAGAGCGGGGAGTGCGGCGATAAAAAGGAGCGTGTCAGACGGGAGCGTGGATGGATGCCAGGTGGACGTCTAACGGCTGTTCTCCTCTTCGACGTGCGTACGCGACGCGCGAATCGCTCGCTCGAGACTTTATTAACGCAGAGTCGAGCGAAGTTGGATGCGCGTTGGATGCATAGTTCTCCAAATTGCGCGCAACTTGCTCGAAAGCTTTTCTTGTTCCCGATAATTACGTGTGCGTGTATATATATATATATCGTTACGGTGGCTATTAAACGACACTATTATACTTGGTTGGAGGGACAGAGCGGATTAAATTCCTCGTTAAAAGTTTCTCTTCGCGATCTCTATTGTTACGGATGCGTCTTCGTTCGCTCAACAGCCGAGGGAAGTATGTTAAATCGTACGAAGTGCACAGCGATCGCGAAATTATCGCGGAATTATTCTCGAGGAGGTAGAATAATTTCTCAATAGGGGGGGTTCTCCCGTGCAGTTACCGCTTCTTAGTCGTTCGTAGTCGCGTGTCCGGGTCGAGATAAAGTCGACTTCCTTTCAATTTTCCCGCTTCGACTTCCTCCCCCTCCTCTCCTCAACGTCCTCCTATCAATTTACGCTATTTAAAGCTCGAGCATCGATAGGGAAACGACGGAAAGATGGGGAGGGGAGAGAAAGAGAGAGAGAGAGAGACGGGGAGAAAGTTTAATTGGAGGGAAAGAGTAAGGAAGAGTTTATCGGATTCCAAAGTGGCGGCCAGTTGGCGTGACGCGTTCCAATTTGTAAAGGTTGCCCGATTCTGGCGGCCGGCCATTATCGTACCACCTTCGATTCCCCACCGAGTTAAGCAACCGAGTTTCCACGCACGATTATATTAAAGGAGCGTTCGCATTCGGCCGGGAGCACGCGACACGGGCACGCGAATGAAAGGATTATTCGATTCGAAAGGACGAGATCGATCACGAAAACGCTCGATATCCAATTTTCCAAAGTTTTTTTACCGTTCGGAATAGGGAAATCGAAGGAGTTTATGATATTAACGAGCGGACGTATTCGGGGATCGCGACGAAAGAAAGAGAGAGAAAGAGAGAAGAAGGGAAACGGCGATATTAATTTATCGGTCTCTCGTTTGTTCTCGTCGCGAGCCACCGGCGACAAGCCGAGTTGAGCGATTGAATATTAAGTGACGGGAGTCTCTCACTCTCTCTCTCTCTCTCTCTCTGTCTACTTCTCTCGGCGAAGTTCGCCCAAGGGACTTCCTTCGAACTAGAAAACGAGACTGAGAGCTACGACAGCCGCTTCTCTCGCAGGCCATCACCATCGCCGTGCTGGAACCGTGGAACGAGGACGAAACGAGCAGCGCCGGCCGGATGGTGGAGAGGCGGAGAAACAGAGACGCGTGTACGAGAGGGCGAGAGAAGAACAGAGAGAGAGAGAGAGAGAGAGAGAGAGTGATACGGAACGGAGAAGGCTGCCGGGGGCGATTTCAATAATTAATGTCACGGGAATTGGCGCGCACCAGCGATGGTACTGGCGGAGTTACTACCGCAAACTTGAAATTCCCTGTCGCGGTATTCGAGGCAGATCGCTCCATGGATAATTACTGCGATTATCCCACGAACAAGCTGGCGAAGTCTTCGCGAGTTTATCGGGCCGGGTACTAATGAAAACTTGCCCGAGTTATCGAGAAACTCTCCCTTCCAACCCCAGATAAATTTCTTCTCGAACGAGTTGGCAGTTTTCGCGCCGAGCCACCTCACCCTTTCCCCACCCCTCCTCCCTCATCGAGCGGATCTGGGAATAGAAATATCCCAGCGGCACGATCGAAAGAGAGAGAGAGAGAGGGATGTTTCCATCCGCGGACTCGGGGACAATGGAGGAAACGCTTTATATATCGTATACTTGACCTAGGACACTTGAATAGACGAAAGATCGGAGCTCCACCGGTGTCCCGCCACCGCGATTCGTGGGGGGCGATGGGAACGAACGACGCTGGGTTCCCATGGAAACCACCAACCTCTTCACCGTCCTCGTCGTTTCTGTCGTCCGCTCATTCTTCCCGGCGTATCGCGTACAGATGAGAAGAGGAGAGCGGGGGAACGAGGGGGAAGGAGGGAGGCAACCGACGAGGAAAAAGGAAAAATATCAGCGATGGCTAAACTCGTGCCAGCCAGGAAGAGACAGAGAGAGAGAGAGAGGGGCGACGGTTATTTGTTACGAGTCTTTCTTCGTTTTTACCTCCCTCGTTTCCGTCCAAACCCGAGGGAAGAATTTCTCCCTCTTCTTGGCGGAAGATAGAGAATAAATAGCGGAAGGTAGGTAGTGGAAAAGTCGAAATGCAAGAGCGCGGTCGAAAATTCGAGGAACGGGCCCCTTTCCCCCCCCCTCCTCCTTCTCTGCGGCGCACGACTAAAGGTCGACGGTCACGCGATCACGCCCTCGCTCGTTAACACCTACACGGTCGGGCTGTGAGCACAGGTGGATAAATACGGCGGGTGGAGGGCACGCGCTTCGCGATTCCAAAGCGGCGATTAACCCTCCTCTTAATCAGCTCGAGACGAGCTAACGTCCTCGAGCTACGTTTCTCTCCCCGATAAAGAGGAAGCCACGCTCGCCTCTTAAAGTGGGTCTCTCCGAGCGTGGCGTTCGGTGGGCGGTTTCGCCGTTTCCGGCAGGAAGTGGCCCCGAGAACAGGAATATACACACACATATATATATATATATATATATATATATAAGCGAGGAGGTAAATCAGGAGCCCAAAAGGGGAACCGGAAGCGGCAGATTTCCAGATTAGATCCCGCCACGGGGTTAAATCGGTTCCTCCTTAAACGATTTCAAACGTTTCTCTTAGCTAGAGAGGGGGAGAGACGGATTTTCGTGAAACGAAGGGGCGCGCGAAATCGCTTTAACCAGGCGCGATAAGGCAAGCTCAAATTTACCCGGGGAGGGGGAGGAGGAGGAGGAGGGAAATTCCGCGGGCCGCATGGGAGACCGGTGCACGCTCGCGTCACGGCTATATAATAGGCGTCGCGAACAGAGAGTATTCGAGCATCGACGGTAAACGGATGGGGCAGCGTTGGTTAATTCATGAAACGGTATCCCTTCGCTTCTCCCTCTCGCAACCCCCAAAGCAACCCTCCCTCCCTCCCTCCCTCCCTCTTGCGCGCCTCGCCCCGGTTTAGAAACGTTCGAATATCGAATGAATCCACAGGTTTTTGCCCGGACCTCGGACAATCCGGCCGTGATTCCCCGCTTTTCGACGCAAGGCCGGCCCTCTCTCCTCCCGTGGATCGGTTATAGCCGAGCGAAGCTCGGGACCGCGCAAAGACCTCGCCTCCAAAGCTAAATAAATATTTGGATTTTCGCGAACAAACATCGAAACCCGGTAAAAAAGTTTAGTTCCCGAGCGCATCGTCCACACCCGGTTACGTAAGCGAGAAACTCGTAAACCCGTTTGTCCGGCTATAAATATTTCCCAGACTCGCTCCACGACCTTTTGCTCCGCGACAACTTTGGACTTTTCTTTTCTTTCTCTCTCTCTCTCTCTCTCTCTTCTTCCTTCGCGTACTTCACCTCAGGAACGAAACCGTTCGTTTCGTAGCTCGAGACCGTACCGTTTCGCGAACGATGAGGGGAGGGGTAATAAAATAATAAAGAAAAATTTATCGGAAAGAGGGGACGTTTCGTTTTATGCATCCAGTGTCTCGACGTAAATCGCGGGACTAGACCAGTCCAGTCCCTTGGATGTTTAAGGTAAACGGTTAAATCGAACCACCCCGTGCAACGTAAATTTTCCGCGCGTCGCCAGAATATATATTTTTTTCCCCCTCCCCACTCTCCCCTGACCCTGTGCGTCTGCTCGTGGGCGTATAAACGCCGTATAACTGTGTGCGTGCGCGCGTGTCGGGACCAGTCGAGTCAAATATAAATTTTCCCGGGACGGTGAGTTAATGGGAAAGGTCAGTGACTGCAAACGAAACGCGGCTGCAAATTGACGTTTCGCCCTTCTCGCGAATCCACAGGTTTTTCCATAGGCCGCTACTTTGTTTCGTGAGAGAGAGAGAAAGAGAGAGAAAGAGAGAGAGAGAAAGAAAGGGCCAACAAAAATAATCTCCCCGGTTTTATGAAAATATTTCTCGTTGAAGAGAATAATGCGAGATTCGCGAGTTGGAAAGAAAAAAAAAAAAAAAAAAAAAAAAAAAGGCCGTCAACAACGCGGCGCGCAACGATTAAATTAGTCCGCGACGGTTTTGTTATGACCATTGTCGCGTGTAAAGTAGAAGGGACGAGAGAAAGAGAGAGAGAGAGAGAGAAAAAAAAAGAAAAAGAAAGAAAGAAATGATAATAATAATAAAAAAAAACTGTGGAAACGAAATTAAACTGTCCCGAAATATCCGTTTCCGGCATTCATCGTTGTCACACAGCGCGCAGCAAATAATAAGGCTCGTTTCGCGAGGCAATAAAAATCCCCCTCCTACGATTTCACCCACGGTTAATTGCGTAATGGACTATAAATGTTAAGTAGCTCTCGACCAGATATATACTTTTCCTCGATATTTTGCTCCTCCTATAACGTTGCGAATCGTGGCGCTGTTCCTTCGTACCGGAACCCGGTTCGAGTAGAGAATCTCGAAAGACGATCGAGATTAACGCTATTACGATTTTTATTTCTTTCTCGAGTGTTCGAAAGCGGTCGGCGATATTAATAATAAGGAGGCTCGTCGAGCTCGAGTAATGGCATAAGTTTGAAAGACGCGAATGGGATCGCGAGTTCGAACGAATCACCATGGAATCCTTTTATCGCGCATTCTCTCTCTCTCTCTCTCTNNNNTCTCTCTCTCTCTCTCTCTCTTTCGTTTTTCTATTCGACTGGAAAGTGAATTATCCCGAAACACAGGCGCCCAAACACAAACGCACGTACACGCATGCATATACACATATCTAAAAGTTTACTTACGAGGCTTCGTGGCTTCCTGCGGCGTCACTTCGGTCAACTGGAAAGAAAAACACCGATTGTTCAGAACTGATAATATCGCAGGAAACGCGACCTACTAACCGAGCCCGCTCGACTTCCCAATCAAACTCCCCCGTCCGTAATACCGACCGATCTTTCTATCTTCCCGATTCCTCGCCGAATTTCCACCGAATTTATCAACGTCGCGTGTTTAGTTTCACGATCATTCCTCGGTAAATAAAAAGTTTAGCCGCGAATTTCGATCGATCGCGTCCACGTGGCAAAAGTCGAAAGTCACGCGATTCGAGTTGGTTCGAAAAAGAAAAAGAAAATCCCTTCGTTCGAGATTAATCCACTTTTCGGGAGAGGTAACCGATATCTCGATTTATTCTCCTTCTCCCTCCTCTCCTTTTTCCTTTTTCTTTTTCTTTCCTCTTCTCTTCTTTCTTTTCCCTCACCGTACGAAACTCTTGACACGAAGCCAAGTGGCACGAAAGTTGAGGCTCGTTCGGTCGAAGAATCGATCGATCGATCGATCGGTTTCATCGCGAGGAAGAAACCGAAATTGCTTGTTCCACGGGCCGTACTCTAGAATGGGAAGAGGGGGCATCGCGCGAAAGCCGATTTACCCGCAACGAAAGGCGGGTACGTCGCGCGCCGAGCTTCTTGACACGGTGCCAAGTGGCACGAAACACTTCTCGGCCGCTCGATACAATTCGAAACGTTTCCACGATCGATACCCCGCGCGCGCTACGAACGTCGAAACGGCTCGTTGCGTTCTAATGAACGAACGTGGCCGTTCGTAATCCCGGAAATAGAAACGGGGGGTATAAACGTACGTTTTACGAGATAATATAAATCGTAACGAATAACAAACGCGTAAATTCTCACCTTCGCCATCACAGGATTGAACGTGAACTTCGACTCGAGCTCCTTCCTCGGCGTCTGGGCGATGGCCGTGAGGGGTGTGGGTGGCATGGTCATTTCCTGAAACAGAGGGGAGAGATCGATGAGAGATAAGAGAGCGATGGGGGATCGGCATCGAGACGAGAGGCGAGGCCCGCTAAGGGAAGCGAAAGAGAAGCGGGTCACCGTGTCATCTTTCCTCCGCCATTATCGCCGACCGCCTCGAAAAAGGTGACCCTTTTTCCTTTCATCGAGGGGCATCGCTTGTGAAACCGGTACGTGCCACCAAATCGAGCCTCGTGTATGCTTAGTTTTGCGTAAGACGCGGCACACATCTGGGCCACGATTACGTCAATGGAGGCACCGATTCGGCGGCGCGCGGATAGTAATAGTAATAGTACTCTCGTGTCTATTAGCGTGGATCGAGATGAAAGTGGCGAAACACGGCAACGCCAACAATGCAGTCTGCGCGGGTTCAACGAAACGGACGCATTTCCACCGACGGCGAATCGTCGGGCCCGATTCATTGACCCGTCGAGACATCCGTCGACGCGAACAAAGAGCGGCGAGACAAAAGCCTCGTCTCGCGTCCCTCTGCTTATATACTCTTTTCCTGGACGATCGAGGCCGGATCTTGTTTGCCGCCAATCGAACGATCGCGCGTCCGTGAAAATGGAACGGCTCTTCGCGTCCACGTGCACCGTTCACCAAAAGACGAAGCTTATTCATTCATCATGTTCGAATCGACTTGGATCGAGCGGAAACGTTCTTTCACGCGCTCCTGCATTCTGCTTCTAATCGCGTCGATCAAGATCAGAAAATTTGAATCGATTCAGAATATAGAAAATTCGGTGGAATGGAACATTCTCGGTATTCAAATCGACAACAGAGTTTTGATAATTAGCGCGTTCGTCAAAAATTCCATCGAATCGAGCAAATATTACGAATGACGGGACCTCGGTCGCGTCCACGTGCACGCTTCCAATTATACCGCGTTTCCACCAACAGACGAAGCTTATTTACCGAATCGAACGATTCGAAGATGGACGACAGAGTTTAGATTTAACAAATTAGCTTAAAAAAATTCAAATCGAATCGAACGATTCGAAGATGAACGACTGGTTTAGACTTAAGAAATTATCGCAAAAATTCCATCGAATCGAACGATTCGAAGATCGACGACAGGGTTTAGACTTAAAAAAATTGCATCGAATCGAGCGATTCAAAGATGGACGACAGGTTTAGACTTAAGAAATTATCGCAAAAATTCCATCGAATCGAGCGACTTCAGTGACGAAACGTTGTTCGCGTCCACGTGCACGCTTCCAACTATACCGCGTTTCCACCAACAGACGAAGCTTATTCACCGAATCGAGCGATTCGAAGATGGACGACAGGTTTAGACTTAAAAAAATTCCATCGAATCGAGCAACTTTAGTGACGAAACGTTGTTCGCGTCCACGTGCTCGTGCACGCTTCCAACTATACCGCGTTTCCAGCAACAGACGAAGCTTATTTATTCGAATCGAACGGTTCGAAGATCGACGACAGAGTTTAGATTTAAATTATCGCAGAAATTCCATCGAATCGAGCGACTTCAGTGGCGGAACGTTCTTCGCGTCCACGCACCGTTCATCGACCAAAAAACGAAGCTTATTTACCGAATCGAGCGATTCGAAGATCGACGACAGGGTTTAGACTTAAAAAAATTGCATCGAATCGAGCGATTCAAAGATGGACGACAGGTTTAGACTTAATAAATTATCGCAAAAATTCCATCGAATCGAGCGACTTCAGTGACGAAACGTTGTTCGCGTCCACGTGCTCGTGCACGCTTCCAACTATACCGCGTTTCCACCAATAGACGAAGCTTATTCACCGAATCGAGCGATTCGAAGATGGATGACGAGAGTTTAAACTTAACAAATTAGTTTAAAAAAATTCCTTCGAATCGAGCGATTCACTCGAATATACAAAATTTGCTCCGATCGACAGGGTTTACTCGATAAATTATCGTATACGCGAAAATTCCATCGAATCGATCGATTATTAGGACATACCGAGTTCGACGTGCTGCGCTCGTTATAACCGTGACGATGACGCAATTACGGTTCTTAAACATTGCGATGAAATGCTCGAGAATGTTATCCTCGTAAANTTTAACAAATAAATTTAGATTTAACAAATTAGCTTAAAAAAATTCAAATCGAATCGAACGATTTGAAGATCGACGACAGATCTAGACTTAACAAATTAGCTTAAAAAAATTCCATCAAATCGAACGATTCGAAGATGGACGAGAGAGTTTAGACTTAAAAAAATTCCATCGAATCGAGCAACTTCAGTGACGAAACGTTGTTCGCGTCCACGTGCACGCTTCCAACTATATCGCGTTTCCACCAACAGACGAAGCTTATTCACCGAATCGAGCGATTCGAAGATGGATGACGAAAGTTTAAACTTAACAAATTAGCTTAAAAAAATTCCATCGAATCGAGCGATTCACTCGAATATACAAAGTTTGCTCCGATCGACAGGGTTTTCTCGATAAATTAGCGGGAATCGTATACGCGAAAATTCTATCGAATCGATCGATTATTAGGACATACCGAGTTCGACGTGCTGCGCTCGTTATAACCGTGACGATGACGCAATTACGGTTCTTAAACATTGCGATGAAATGCTCGAGAATGTTATCCTCGTAAAATTAGAGACTCGTGGAAGAAGTTTCGGAAAACGTTCGGAGACGCGGTCGTGCAACGCACGTGCATCGTCCTCCTCTCGAGGGTATATGGAAACGAGGGACGCGTGCGACGCGAAAGAAAAAAAGAAAAAAAAAAGATCGCAACGAGCGAGCGTAATACGCTCTTTTTTTCTCTGGAGAGAGTTAACGGAGAAGAGCGAGTGTTGGTTTCGATGAAAGATCTCCGGATTCGAGTGGTTCCCTAGAGTGGCGTTCCTGCGTTTCGTCACACGCTCTCGAGCTCCCGCTTCGACACGCGATGAAACGAGGAGAAGACTCTCTCGCGCTCTCATTCTTGGATCTTCCTTCGACTCGATAACTTCCAATAGAGATAACCCTCTACCGCGCGTTTCCTTCCTTCCGAGAAGGCCAAGTATGTAAAAAAAAAAAAGAAAGAAGAAAAAAAGGAATATACGTTGTACAGGGGAAACGATCGAGAGGGGAAGAAGGGAAAAGCGGGCTCGTTTCGACTGGAGGGCTGCGAGGGATCCCGGGTCGAGGCGAGGCCGCGTTCGAGCCAAGATTTCAACCGGCGGTTGGCAATCCGTTTCGAAAAATCCGCACGGTTCGCGGAAAAACACGGCGGTGCGCGAGAGATATTGTATATTATAGAGAAAGAGGGATACGGAGTGTCGGTTGGAAAAGAATAATGGAACCGCGGCGGGATCGTTCCACGATCATGCATAATGTAACGCGGCGCGTCGTGAATATAACGGTGAACGGGAATGGCAGCGTTATCCTTCGAGCGGAAACGCACGGCAGAGCATCGTTACCAGTTAACGTTCCGATATTTTTCCGCTCCATATTTCTCCACCAACGAAAATCGCGTAAACCCCGCCCTCCTATCCTATCGCTCGCGTTAATTGGCGTCGCCAAGAGTTTCGCCGAGTATCTCTAAATAATCCTCCACTCAACGTTTCGTTACGTTTCGTTTCGTTTCCTAAAAATTCGTACCTTTTCTTAAGAATCGAATTATAGTGTATTAATAATAGTTGAAATCGTAGAGGGAGACGCGAACGACAATTCACCAAGGCGCGAAATCGAATCGAAAGCTTGGAAAGAAGGAGAAGAGAGGGAAAAGAAAAAGAAAAAGAAAAAAGGAGAATGGAGGAAGGGAAAGGAGAGAAGACAGAGAGAGAGAGAGAGCGAAAGGGACGAACCGGCGTCGTTAATCGCGACTTATTATTCTCGCTCGGCCGTGTGCAGCTTGGAGACACGCGTGACTCGCGTACGAAATCGTCCATTTGCATCCCGCCGCTCGACGACCGCGCCACGACACCAACAACGACGACGACGACGACGACGACGACGACGACGACGACGACGACAAGCACGACACACGGGCCCGAACGAAAAAGGACTCGACACGTTTGCCAAGAGGAGAGAATTCTCCGGGGGCTGAGTCACCCTCTCCGCGCGACCTACCGTTTCGTGCGAACCAGTTACACTCGCGGCCAGCCGCCTCCGCTTTATTCCCCGCGAGCACGAAACGCGAGTTATGGAGGATTCCGCCAACGTCGTCGACGTTGAACGGATCCCACGATCGATCGATCGAAACGATTCCATCTTCTATCCGGAACAAGATCGACCGTTTTAAATTCAATTTCGTCCTCCCTTTCTCTCGCCTCCTCCCCCTAGAATTTCGTCGAGAGTCCACGGAACGAGAGTCCTTGGATACGGAATCGCGTGGGGAGAGGGGGGACGAGAAAGGGTTCGATTAGAACGGGGGAACGAGAATAAGATGGAACGAGAATCGAAGGAGGGGGGGGAAAAATTCGCGGACGACCGAGATAAGAGCGAACCGCCCTTTCGCGACGCTCGGTGAATTATTTATTCCTAACCAAGGCGGGAGAACAAAGGGGTTCGATGATCCGTAGCGTGACTACGAGCCAACTGAGAAAATCGCACGTATCGTCACGGCTAGAGTGCTATTTACGAAACCTCGCCTCCGACCGAGAGAGGTGAAAGAACTCGGATCAAAGAGGACACGACTGCATACCTCGACAAACGTCTAATTCAATTATATATATATATATATATACATTATACTACATATGTATATATATAGTAGAGTATGTTATCGATAGCGGCGGAATAAGATCGGTCATCATCCGCAAACGACGAGAATCTTATCCTCCACCGATAATCTGGATGGAAACTGGAAAAGTTGGATCGAGGGAGAAGGGGGGGGAAGGTCGACGAGCGATGAATTTTCTGTGTCGCGTGCACGATCCTAATGGACCAGCAGCAGCAGCGGCGGCGGCGGCGGCGGCAGCAGAGGAGAGGGACCATCGATTCGAAACGGCGACTAGCCGGCAGATCGATCGTCTCGTTCAACGCGTTTTCCATTTCCACGCGGAGGATATATCGCGCCGCTACTTTTATTTACCCCCCTTCCCCCTTCGCCCACCACTCGTCGCGAATTTACAACGCGCCATCCCCTCGATCACCACCCCTTTATTTCGCCAACGGTTTTTCGAAACGTCGAACTCCGAATCCAGACTCTCCTCCGCGGATAAATATTATTCTCCTCGAATATTCGATTCGATGAACGTCGAACGTGAGGGGAGGGGTCCTTCCTCCCCTATTTTTATCTCGTAACGCATTACGACGAGAAGAGACTTCTTCCGTATCGCGATCCTATCTTACGTCCCAAGAACGTATGGATAAAATCGAGAAAAACGAGAGGAGGCTCCTACTCTCGAATTCGTTCAAGAACGGAATTCTCTCTCTTCTCTCTCTCTCTCTCTTCGCTGTTCGGCCGCTAAGAGTTAACTCGATCGATCTCGAATTGACCTTATTAATTCGGTCTAATTGTCTTCCCTTGGCCACGGTTTACGTTACCGTGGTAGCCGTGGTGGCGGAGGTGGGTGGTGGAAAAAAGGGGAGGAGGGGGGAATCGGCGATCGAAACGCCGAGGACGCCGGTGAACCGTGCGCGCGGCCGAAAACTGGATTAGCCGCGATTTATAGGGGCTACACGGGAATCGAATTTAAGCTGGAAAAAGCTGGAGAGCGCGAGCTGCGGCAACGACGATCCACTACTGCTATTACTACTACTACTACAATTACTATCACTATCGCTGCTGCTACTACTATTGCTCAACCGAGAAAGAGGAGGAGGAGGAGGAGGAGAGTTTTGCCCCCCCTAAATATCCCCGCGGCCAGTCGGATCGACCCGTAAATGGCGAGGCTGGAAAATCTGTCGATTAATCGAGAGAGGCGAATCGAGCGAAAAAAAGAAAGGAAAAGGGAGGGGAAGAAAGGGAGACGGGGAAGGGAGGAGGGGGTTGGCCGATACGGGAGAAGCGGTGGCGATAACGGTGGCGAAAGAACGCGATATTCAGGAGGCGCGCTAACGGTGGTCGTCGTCGGCGAGCGCAATTAGCAGCCGCATTTACGATGCCTACTGGCGCAACTCTCGTATTTTCCCACGGGCAGAGCCGTGAGAATAATTCATGGGCCTCGACGGTGCTTCTATACCAAACGGGCAGCCCGCGCTGCAGGGACGAGCCGATGCGACCGGTAAATGGGGGAGGGAGAGAGAGAGAGAGAAAGAGAGAGTGCAGCGAACGCTACAACGCCGACGACTGGCCGCTGGTATCGTCATAAATTCGCGCTGAAAGTGGAAAATTCCCGGAGAACGGTTACCTCTGCTCTCTCTCTCTCTCTCTCTCTCTCTCTCCTCCCCGCTTCTTGGATGCTCCGTTTCTGCATCGAATCTCGAAGAATTTTTAGTAGCCGAGTATCGATCCTGCGAGGCGAGGAGAAATATCGAGCGAGGAGATAAGTCGTGCTCCTTCGAAAAAAAAAAAAAAAAAAAAAGGTTTTTACGCGCATCGACGAGTTGTAAAATCGCGTGTGATATCGCGGCAACGATAAACGATGCTCGTATCGTTAAGTAGAGAGAGAGAGAAAAGGAAAAGGAAAAGAAGTATACGACGATCGAGTATCGTACGAATTCAAGTATCGTACGACGAGGTCACACGAACGCCTCGATAATCGGAAACCGATTCGTTACGCGACAAACCACTATGCGATAAACTACTATTTTATCTATCTTCACCTTGCCTCCCCGGTTGCTTATCCGATGTTATTCATCGACAGATGGAGTCGGTCTATCGCGGATAGATGTTGAGAAGGAAAGAAAAACGGTGATCGATCCCCGTTAACGAAGAGAGAGAGAGAGAGTAGCAATATTAATCGGTCGGTATCGATGTACGACGAGGCACACGCGCGACGAGGACGTCCATCGCGGGGACGCGGTATCTCGATACTCGATCGACCGTGTCGCGATATCGCAGCCTCGTAATGATATCAATTCGCTGATAATCGGTGTTAAGCCGTGTCCATAAATTAACACTCGGGAGGGGAGGGGAGGAGGGGAGGAGGGGAGCAGGGCAGAGCTTTTACCGATCTCGAAACCAGAACGTTATAACCGAAAATGTGGTTATTACGGGATCGATGGGTTAAAATGGTGGGCGGTTCCGTGGCAGAGATATTTCGCCCTCTCGCGTCTCCGTGTCGGGAAGATCGGATTCCTAGACTCCCACGAGCGAGCCAGCTATTCCCGCGCCATCATTATTCTCTATTCACGAATAGAACTGGGTCGGCCGGCAGTTTATCAGCCCGATTGCAACCGTGTATCGAGTCCAGCTGTCCGCACCGATGGAATCGAGTTCACGAAACGCCGGACAAATTGTTTCGAGCTTGTATATATATATATATTCGAATTTCTCTCTCTCTCTCTCTCTCTCGATTCCGATTCCGAAAAATTGAAATCAACGAATACGAGAAGAACGAAAGACGCGTTCGATCTTTTTCATTTGCTTCGCGTTGACAGCCTTCGCGAAATTGGGCGAGGAATCCTTCGAAGCGGGGGGCGTGGAATAAGGGAAACTAAGGACCACTTTGGCTATCATCTCGGCCAATCAACGGCCCGTTGGCCAAACTTTCGATTAGTTTCATGGCCGTGTTCGTGGAGGCTCGAAATAGCGCGAATCGAACTTACACCCCAAGGATACGCCCCTATAAATAGAAACGCGGTCGTTTCGATGTAACGCGAAACGCCTTTGGTCAGACCTTCTTTTTTTTTTTTTTTTTTTTTTTTTTTTTNTTTTTTTTTTTTTTTTTTTTTTTTTCCCTCCCCTTCAGAAACGACGCGTATCCAGAGGATACGACGGATCGATCCGTACAACGATGGGAGAGGAAAAAAGGAGAGAGAGAGAGAGAGAGAAAAAAGGGTGGAAGGTTGGCCGATTCCATTAACGACCGGCGACAAAGTTGGCCATGCCTCTAGGGTGCGAAATTGTGTTCTCTACCGGCGGTGACGAAAGCCGATACGGCGAAACCGAAACGGTGAGTCGATTCGGTTGAACGACAGCCGCGATATGACCGCGAGAGAGATAGCCGTTGTATCGGCGAGAAAATTGGCTTATCGACCGCGGCTCCAACTTCCATCCTGTTGCGTTAAACTTTCGCCTCGAAACGCGTAAAAGCTCTGTCGCGGATCCCTGCGAGTCAACGATTTCGATTCAGCACACTTACTTTTAATATATTCTCCACATCGGCCGAATTCTCGGTGGGGCCGGGTCTCGAGCTGCCCTGTAACAAAGAAGAGAAAATTCGTTCGATTAATTTTCGATTTAACCTTCGCTACTTTCGCAGTTTCCACTTTCTTTTCGATTCCGCGCGTATCATCATTTCCGCGGGAAATTTCGAAATTTGGAACGGCGAGGACGCGCGGTCAAACTTTTCGCCGAGAGTCCTTTCCGCGATTCATTATCACGAGCTCTCGAGCGATCATTAATCAACGCCTCTCCCGGAGGTGGAAGAGGCGTTGAAAAGGGCGGTGCGCGCGCGCCCCATTACGACTCGTCGAGTAGTCATAGCTGAAAGGAAAACGCGGAGACAATGAAATGAAAATGCGTGGATCCGGATGGGTAAAAATAGGGAGGGTGGAGGATCGTCGTTGCTCCGGCGTAAGGGAGACCAAGGAGGCCAAGGGGGGATAATAATCGAGGGAACGCGAGGGACGAAAAGTTGCGAAGCGGATGAGTCGTCGACGAGTTGAAAAGAAACAAAAGGAAAAGAAGAAAAGAAAAAAAGAAAGGGAGAAGAAGAGGAGGAAGAAGAAGAAACCGCGAACGCGCGCTTTTCAACTTGATCGCGAGGAAGGATTCGCTTCTTAAATTTTCACGCGCGTAATTCCAATTTCACCTTGATGAAAATCGAAGAAACATCGATCGATCGATCGATCGAGCGAACGACTCGAAAGCGTGGCTAAGAGAGAGAGTGAAAATAAAAAAAGTATAAAAAAGAATGGAAAGAGGAAAGGACCAATAGGGGAATCAATTATCTCGACTATGCCAGAGCTAAGAGAGGGACGTCTCCGCTTCTCCAGCCAACTCTAATTGTATAAGTACATCGGTGAAGAGGGGGGAGAGAGAGAGAGAGAGAGAAACACGGCGGAAACCGAATCGAAGGAGACTCGATCGATAGTCAATCTGAATGAAATTTGCACCTCGAGGAGTCACGCGTAATAGGGCCTCGACCAAACTCGGCCTCTCTCCCCTCCTCTCTCTCTCTTCCTCCACCTCCGCTACGCGCACAGAGATTTCTATTGAAAAGCAATTCGTTTCCCGTCAACGAACCTGTCGACCGCGATGCTTTCGTCGAATAATACCAAAGTTGGTCGGAGGGGGAGGGAAGTCGGCAATAATAATAATCTCTTTATCGTAGCTTCGCGCCGATTAACGACCTCCCCCACGGGATCCCTTTAATCGGGGCCGATGTCGGGAGGCCGATAGCGGAGAAGGCGAGGAGGAAGAAAATTTATCTTTGCACGATCAGTTTCGGGTCCTCTTCGTCCGCAAAGCCGGTCGTAAAGCTATTAACTAATCGAAACGAGGTACTAATCGCGCAACAAGTGCAACCTATCCGGTTATCCACCTCGTACCATCGACTCGTGCTTCGTTTAATAATAAACGGGGAGAAGAAAGCCGATGGAAAAGTAACAGTCGATCGAGGAGGAGGAGGAGGAGGAGGAGGAGAGTAACGAAACGATCCGAGGAAAGGATCGAACGCGTTGGCACCGCGCCGACTACGCGGAATCGGAGCCACCGTTAGACCTCGAGGAGGAAATCCACGCAACTTTGGCGACGTTTAACTCTCGTGTAAACAAGAACGATAGACGGGAGGGCGGGGAGCAGAGAGAGGAGGTGAGAGGAGGGAAGAGGAGGGAGGAGGGAAGAGGAGGGAGGAGGAGGCGGCGGTGGCCACGAAACAATGGAAATCGATACTCACGTTATCGAGAGGTAACCTGGACAGTCTGCTGCCGACACAGTGAAGCCTGCTGCCGCTGGAATTCCCGATACTGGAATTGCCAGCGAGCGTTCCGTTCCCGGGCGAATTCGTGGGCGGTCCTTTGGCGGGTAATAAACCGTGGCTCCTATGATCGTTGCTGTTGCCCCCGTGCTTCATCGGCTGGCCGGGGTAACCACCCCTGCCTCCGTACGGCGGCTTTCCGTCGGCTGGCTTCACGAAACCACCCCGTTGATGATTCGACGTCGAAGTCGAAGTCGACGAGGACGACGACGACGACGACGACGACGACGACGACAACGACGACGACGAGGACAAAGATGACGTCGAGGACGACGAAGAGGAGGAAGCATCGGGGCGAGGCCCTCCCGGTTTTTTAAATTCTTGGGAGGAGGGCGAGCTCCTGGAATTCGCGCCGACCGAACTGGAACTCATTCGAAGAAACGAGGAGGTCGGTGGCGGGGCAGGGCTTGGCGGTACACCCTCGATGCCGATCAGCCGTTTCGGCTCGTCCAGTAGATGTTTCACCAACGAGTAGTTACCTAATTTTGATTGAATCTGCTGCGTCGTACTGTCCCGGGCGTCCGGATTCACCTGAAATCATCACAAACACGTACCGATTATATACACCTCCTCTCCTTCCGTTCCGAGAGAGAGTGAGAGAGAAAGAGATCGTGCATCCCTCGCCAGACGAGGGATCGATTCGTTTCCACCCTCCAACGGTCGAAATTGCGCGCGTACTCTTAGGATATACACGTGTACGTTGCGTGGTAAGAGCGTGATAATAATTAATGCGGCGTAACAGTGGCTGGCAAGTTTACGACGATGCCGGGGGAGGGGGCGAAGGGAGAAGGAGAGATTCGCGTTCGACCGGTTACCTCGTGCACGGGGGGGGGGAGAGGGGAGAGTAGGAGCATAGACTTGCGTACAATGTAGACAGACAGACAGCGCGTTTATGATCCACCGCGTCCTCCCCCTTTGTCTTTAAGGACAATGAGATCGAATCGCGGCTTAATAAGGAGGCGGAGAGGCCTCCGAGGAAACTTAACGTGATTAATGAGCGCGCTATAAATCACGTACACTTGTTCCTGCGTACGTACTCTTTCCCTCCCCGCCCCCGATCGAGCGAGCATCCACTCCACCCCACCTTCCCTTCTTTAACGAGCTTCCGATGCATCCCTGTCCCGCGATTCTCCAAGAAAAGGAAAACCATCTTGATTCCATCTTCCGCCGAATTTCCAACGAAATTCCATCTTCCAACGCTCGAATCTTCGAGAAAAGATATATATCGGAAGGAAAAATTCGTTTCCTTTTCCACTTCTCCCCGAATCTGGAGAATCGGGAACGGAGAATCTCGATGGCTCGATTGTTAATCACGCGCGTTAGAGGGGGCCCTGAGAGACGACATAAACCGTAATCCCGCGAGGAAACTGCGAGAGGAGGAAAGGAACGGTTAGGTGACCAGGTCAGGGACTTCCCTTCCACCCAGACCTCCCCCCCCTCTTTCCCTTCCTCGTCTCCTTCCGCTCTAATCACGTTCCCGGGACGTCGTCGCGACGACGATCGTCCTCTCTCTTCTACGCCATCACCCTCGAAAACCTCGTAAAACCCGTGAACTCGCGCTCGTAACGCGACCACGTAGGCCGGCCGTCGTTGAGACCACGATTGAGATTCCCGCAAATTCCCGCGGCCGTGGCTCCTGTCCCGAGCCACCTAGTGTCGTTCCACTCGACCCCCCTCCCCCCGGGAGCTTCTCTGTTCGAGGCGTTGGAGGCGGTTCGCCCAAGGACAACTTATCCGTATCCCTTTATTCCTCGAATATCGAAAACAAATTGGGCTCGAACCGGTCGATCGCTTCGCTTTCCATCCACGATCAGCTTCGAGGCGATTTAACGGCCGAGATACGGCTTCCTCCCTCCCTTCCCCCTGCGAGCGCCGAAACGTTTAAACTGCCGGGCGATATATATATATGTGTGTGTGTGTGTGTACGACCATGCACGCAAATTCTCGGCAAATTCCTCCCGTGAACGGATAAAAAGCGATTGACGGCGGGGCGTGCTGCGCCGGCTTTCATCCGCTTACGACGCCATGCCGCCATTTTCGAGGAGAGAATCACGAGGGTTCTCCATCTATCCGTCGTTTGGAAACGAATTTCTTTCGCGCGCGGAATGGGCGAAAGTCGAAGGAGAAGGGGACGAGCTCGTTCGTGAGAAGAGAGGAGGATGAAGAAAAGGGGAGGAGGGGAATGGGCGAAATTTGTTTAACGATCGCCTTGTGCGGTGGAAAAATAGGAGCAAAGGAACGTGGAAAGGGAGGCGGAGAGACAGTTGGCAAGCGGCGAATAGCGGCCGTACGTGCGTAAAGTATAGCCAAAGATTGCTTACCTCGCGTCGTGACGCGTCACGAGGAAATTTCGTTTCGTGCCTCCGTTCCGAAATTAGCATCGGTGTTCGCGTGTACCGTTGGCGTGTCTTGTACTCTCTTGCACTCTCTTTACTCTCGAAAGAAAATAACATCGCGAATCTTTGTAATCGTCAAATTACTGGCGTACGAATGTAATCTCTCGTGGAAAAGGGAAATGAAAAAAGGAAATTTCGACATTTCGACCCGAGTTCTTTTCTCGAAAAGTTAAAAGAGGGATACGCTTCGTAGAAACTTATTGTCGATCTATGACCGAGATTCTTCCCCCCCCCCCCCCGACTAATTCGCATCGAGTGGAAAAATTTAACCCTTTGCTCTCCAACGATGACTCTCTGGGATCAAGTTGCAACAACTTGAACGGCGACAATATTTATTTACGTTTGATTCTTTTTAACAATATATTGTCAAATGGCTAGATTTTTTATCTCAAAATAGTCCGTGATCGTGAGTCGAATGACATCTTCGTTAGTCTGAGTTTGATAGTTTACATTTGATTCTTTTAAAATATCGCTTCATAAATACATTCTTAACAATATATTATCAAATGGTTAGATTTTTTATCTCAAATTAGTCCGTGATCGTGAGTCGAATGACATCTTCGTTAGTCTGAGTTTGATAGTTTACGTTTGATTCTTTTAAAATATCGCTTCATAAATAGGTTCTTAACAATATATTGTCAAATGGTTAGATTTTTTATCTCAAAATAGTCCATTGATCGTGAGTCGAATGACGTCTTCGTTAGTCTGAGTTTGATAGTTTACGTTTGATTCTTTTTAAAATATCGCTTCATAAATAGATTCCTAAGCTCTTATAATCTTATGAGGTGTAATCTTATCTCATGAGTAATTATCTTATGGTGATCTTATGAGCCAGCGAAAGCGAGCCGCGCGGGTCTGAATCTGGAGTTGCTGGAGCTCGACCGAGCGAAACAAAATCTGGAGTGCAAAGGGTTAATGAAAGAATCCAAAAGAAATCGACGGATCGACGGAGGGAAGAAAACTATCTCGCACAGTGGGGGTTTCTTGCGCAAGCTCTGGACCAGAGCTGCGAATCTGGCCGAGAGAGTTATCAATCTTTCCCTCCGCGTCTCTCGGCGGGCCGAGAGTTTCAACGCGACAGAAATTACCCCGGAGGCGGCATCCGTATTGCCCTCCGCGACTCGCCAGCCACGATGTCTCTCTCTCTATAAATTACGAGGGAACTCCGTCGAAGACTCGATCCCCCCCCCCTCGCACATTTTCCTCCAACTCGAGTTTTCATCGAACGTTGCTTTATTTACGGCCGATCTTTGTTGGAACAACGTCTCCCTCCGTTTGCAAATAGCTTTTCAACGTTGCTCGACGGCAATACGCGTAACAGATATGGCGCAAAGAATTTGGAGATGTTCGAAGGGCGGAAAAACCGGGTCTCGTCCGCCGAGTTAAGCTCCTTACTCGGTTCGAAGGAAATACTCGAGACGAGATCGTTCAATCCGCTTGTTGCCCGCCTCCCTCCCTTGCGCGATTGTCCGTGAAGGAATTTAGAGCGTGGAGGCCGCAAAGTCGATTGTTAATTACCGTTCGTCGCGTCGATGTTGACGATGCGTGTTTGCCCGCGAAAGGAAACGGATTGTTGGGGAAACAGGAAGAGAGGTTCGAGGAAAATTCCGTAAACAGCTTTCGTTGGAAATTGCAGTGGCGGGGGAATTAGTAGCGCATGATCGAGTGGTACGATCGAGAGAATTGGAATAAGAAGTGAATACGAAGAGAGAAGGGACGACTTTGATGCGTAAAAAAGGAATACAGATATATTCCAAAGGAGTCTTTTCCATCTCTTCTTCTTTCGTTCTTCTCCTCGATGTTATGGTTGACGCCCGCCAGCGATGAAATATCGTCGGAGTTGCGACTCCACGGGGGATGAGGAGGGATTTAAACGACCTGACTCCCCTGCATCCTCTCTGTACGCATACGCGCAAGCGTAATGGACACTCGGTCGCGAGGCGAGAGAAGGAAGAAAGGCGAACGTAACGAGTTAAAACGTCATCTTCTGCGGTTGTTGCTCGCGGGAGAAATGCTCGCCGAAGGACGACGCTTGGCTGGTACGATCGCGCGCTGCGGTCGAACGGTGAAATTTCCGTTTTGGAATCGCGGCTGAAGGAAACCGGCTGATGGATCGTCGATCGTCGGGGGACAAATATTTATGAGAGAGTCATTAGCGAGGAGAGCGAAAGGGAATCGAGGCCATTACCACGACGACGACGAAACGACAAAGGAACGACAAGGATACGATAGTAAAATGAACACACTAGGCGGAGAACTTTCGCTTCGAATCGAGCGAAACGCCACGGATCCATCTCTAATCTTATTTCCGGAATGCGATATCGGATTACAACCTCGTATCGTATCGTATCGTATCGACGAGTAAACAACAAGTAAATAGAATTGTATAAAAGAGGAAACGTAAATTTTCCTACGGGAATCCGTGCAGGAATAGCAAGGAATGGGTATTTCTAAATAGCGGTTTGCGGGACAAGGGTCGGTGAAAACTGGTAAACGGAATACCTTACAATTTCGCGGAACCTCTGCGGTTGACAGTGGTATTTCGCGTAACCCCTCCCCTCCCCGAGGAGAGGGATTAAATCGAAAAGAAGAAAACAGAGGCCTGTGTTTAATTAATCCCCTCCATTCGCGATTAACCTAAAAGCGGAGACCGATACACAAAGTGGCGCAAAAGTCGGCGAGCGAAGGAAAAGGAATCTAGGAATAGGAGGAAAGGAGGGGGGAAAAATCGGAAAGATTCGAACGAGGCAGGTGGACGGTCTCGTTTGAGATTACGCGAGCCACGTAACACGTCCCTTCTTCCCGCTACTCGGCCACGGACGAGGTTTCAACGAAGATAGCGTAGACGCGGTTGCCGACGGTTCAAACCCCCCTTCCTCTCTCGCAAATTCTCTTTCCAGTCGGCTGCCTCCATCTGACAGCTGCTCGCCAGTCGGATGAAAGCTCCGTTCCACCGCGAAATAATATACACGGCCGGGGGAGTAGTAGGTAAATTGAGGAATCTTCGTTTCGTTTCGTTTCGTTTCGTTGCGATAATCGAGAGCAAAGATTACGTCGCGAATATTTTCGAAGAAACGTTTCGCCGAGTCTCGTTTTCCTCGACACGTTCGAGCGTTTCGATGCGGATAATTTTCA